CCACTCTGAAAACATTTTAAATATAAAATAGCCTAGCCACAATCAGCCTAGCCCCATAGTATCATGTTACTTTATTTATAAGTGTAATAATTACCCATGAATTAAAATATAAAATATTCGACTAATCATCCTGGATAATAATGACAGACGGAAGTCCTTAGTAAGTTGTAGGAGGCTATGAATTATGAAACTGATTTCAATTTCGAAAAGTTCCACTGTAGATAATAAAAATTCATAAAGTTAATGATGTGTATTTCATCAAATAGATGACCCATATGGCACTGCACTTGATTGTACGATAGTTCCGTTAACCTAGTTCCTGAATTGAATAGTTCCGTCCTTTGTGAAGAAACAAACAACGTGAACTATTGAATGAGTAGACGGCAGCAGGAAAAATCGATTCTTTTATTAACGCAGTGTCGAGATGATAAGACAAAAATGATATATCCAAAAATATAATTTTGCGGAAGGACACACACATAATTGACTAATACGAGACTCATGAGCTATTTAGCAAAAATAACGCGAGTGAAATTGTTACGTATATGCTACTTATGGATCCTAATTTCTAAGATAACAAAGATATTTATCATACTTTTGTTAATGTATTTCTGTTTATAGACAGTTTATCAGCATATCAAAGGAAATAATTGGCAGAGAACAAATAATGGTTATGAAACACCAAGGATTACAGATGTAGACAACATTTTTATACATTTTTATCGTGTTTGTGTGCAAAACAAAGTCACTATAGGGAAGAAGTCGAAAAGGAGAGCGCTTACAGATATTGCTAAAAAATTAATGCTCACAATGCGCCATTTGCATTGGTATAACCCTCTTTCCATCTGCATTCTGCTTCTGTTTGTGTTCAAAGAAAAGCATTTTTCGGCTTTCACAATTAGCAAAGAGCAAAGGACAACGAGCAGGCAACGAGCTAGAATATACATAGAGTGGCTGACCCTATGAATTCAGCGCTTTTGGTGAACGCTCAAAGAACTAGGTGTCGCCATGTTTTTTGCAGTCAAACCATGAGAGTTGTCTGACAATGGCGTGTAGATCTGTAATAAACCGACGTGTTGTTTGTAACATATCTTGTATCTATATTGTCGTCTTTTCGTTTATCTGTATTTAAATTATGTTAGTGATTAGAATAATATTCAGAATTACTTCAGTATGTTAGGGATAGAACTGTAAAAATATAACTCATCAAACCACAAATTTATCATTTTTTCAATTATTTGCGATCTGTTCGTTCGCTTCTTATTACAGTAACATTCACTTTCAGGCGTTATGCTGACTACAATAACATTTCAACAGCTTTCATTATGACAATAACCAATGCAGGAAGCAACGTGTTTTTAAATTCCCTCAATTCATTCTCCTTACATATTGTGATTTTGGTTTTAAGTGATTGGTTTTTTGGTCGAAGAACACAGAGTAAGAGGACATACCCGCGCCCACGCGGCCGTAACCAGCGCCAAACGGAATAATGAAATACTCAGACTCTTCAAAGTACGCAACAACATGGCTTCTATTCGCTGCCAGAAGCAGGCGCTTCAGCCACTCTCTGTGGTACATTGCAACTCGTGCGTTGCAGGCAGGGCGAGGGCGAGGGCCGCTGCAGTTGCTGCTGGTGCTGGTGCTGCTGGTGATGGCGGTGGCGCTGCTGTCTGCGGCCGGAGGCGCCCGCGCGGAGATCGCCGCCACGCGCATGAGGTGCGTGCGCTCGCTTCGAGCAGCCGCCGTTTTTTTCAACTTCCATCCATATTACTCACGTAGTGTAGTGAAAGCATTGTAATGTTGCAGCAGAAAAAGGCAACTTATCCGACCGTAAAACACGTATTTTGGTGTCTGATATCGAAGAAAGGAATGATAAGATAGAATAAAGATAAATGTATTTCAACTGCAATTTTGTATTACCTCATGGCAGTTAATAACATAAATAACGTAATATACTTTCATGAAAATAACAAAAATAATGGTAATAATAATCAAAGTAATAACAAACACAATAATAATATAAAAACTGACCATTCATAAAATATTAAGGTACATAAAGGAAGAGATAAGAAACGTATATAAATTAAATCCGCATTGTACTAACACTGGACTTTACGTCACTTCTCTGTAACACAACACGTACTTCATTATTTCCCAGCTCTACACTGCACGACACCTCACTTCACAACATATCATTTATATTGTGAGTTAGGCCGTCATTCTTGCTCACAGCTTCCTCTAACACGTTGATTTGCCAGAAATTTTGTGGTTCACGGTTATCGAAGTTGGTTTTCGTCAAAATGTCTATCCGTCCGTCTCTAAATAGTGCTATCAACTGAACGGTAGATCGGAGTTTCATCAAAATGGATAATCCACGATCGATCTGGCTGATGCCGAGGGCCGAATGGATTGAATTTGGAATGAATACTTTCATTTTGGGGGAGTATTTACATGAACTCCCAAATATTTTCATTTTTTTAATGAAGCTCCAAGTGATTTCTTGCATATTTTTCACGAATACAGAAATATACTCTTATGGAAACCATATCCATTTTTCGTCGACTTCTCTGAATTTTTTAAAAAATTTATTATATTTCAGCATCATTCTACAATTACAATATTTAAGATAGTTTTTTGTAATAAAATACGTTTTTCAAAGGTAGATTTTAAAATTAGATAATGAACAATTTCGTTTTCAAAATACGAGAAACTTTCGCACTATTAAAAGTTCACACGTTAAAAGCAAGGTTTTATAAAAAGCTCAATTAAAAGAATTGTCTAATAGTTCAAAGTACGTTTCTATAATAGAGCTGCTCCGGTTTTAAATGAACTCTCTCAATTTTCAAAAATTTCCAATGTTAAAAATAATGCGAGAAAGTTTGCTCTTTTGTAGCTCAACCAAGTTTACACTAGTTATCAAACGATCGACCATCGCTCCGCTGTTTCATTGAAAGTGTAATTTAATCCCGGTTTCCCCAGCCTAGTGATCCGTAGCCTAGTTAACGATATCTGATGTATGTATATGAGTTTTATCTCTGAATCTCCACGGTTGTGGAGGGAAGAAATGCTGTGATTCTTTCCATGAAACAATGTCCAGGTGGATGTTTTATCAGAACCACTGGTTAGGTGATTGTATATAATGTTCGACTTGGTGATCGCATCAGGAGAATCAGGCGGCCCATCGTATCAGTTTCCCCCATTCCATCAGACGATGCGGTTTCTTAAACACACTGTGTTGTGGATTTACATTACAAGCTTTGTTAGGGGTTTTTGACCCAGTTTTAGGGGAACAGATCGATCACTAGTAGTCAGCTGAGATAAAGAACAGTCGGCCTAAACCACACTGTAGAGTATTCCACTCTACATGAAAAGGGGAGAGACAACCCACAGCGGTATACGTCAGAAAACGTATCACCATCCGTTATCACGATTCGAAGTCCGTCCTCTCCAGGTGAAGTGTCTGGTGAACGAAGCGGGTTTACAGCAGGTTTCCGGACCCACATTCAACCATTTCTTCATTAGCATTTTTCATGACTCATTGATAGCTATGAATCATTCAACACCCCAGGTAGACAACCCCGGCTAAGGAACTAGATTCATAATAAATCAATCTTAAGCATTATAAGCGCCTTATGCATAAGCAAACGAGGTCTTGCGCGCTAAGTGGTGCACTGCTTCCGGTTGGAACGGACAGAGAAGAAGGGGTGACCCTTACCTGAAGTCAACGGTCACTTGGGTCAAGCTCCAATCACTGTGCACTCATACGCACTTGGACAAAGTGTGGTGGAAAAATTGTAAGAAACAAATTAGAACTGTTTAAAAAATATAAATTGCATTAACTTTGAGTAGAAGTTACGCAAAACTAGTGGTTATTATAAAAAATACATTTTTTAAAAAAATATTTGGTTTAAGGCAAAAGAATCTTATTTTTTACATTGTATTTATGTAATACGAAATTTTAGGATTTAAAAAAAATCCTGTATTCCTCGTAAAAAAGCTCAGTACCAATTATTTCACAGTCATTTAATACATCAGAGGAGAAAAGTTAATGAAACTAGTGGTGAACAACATCACGTTTTGTAACGGTTACGTAATATTCTAACTCATTTCAGCTCATGTAGTATATAAATAATAGAATGAGTGTTATTAATGAAGCAGTATCTAAAATGTAGAGTTAAGCACATTTTTCTGCAAATCACTTATTTGTTAAATGTAGTGTATACCATCGCAATATGTGTTGAAACGGATGCGTAAATTAATAATGTCAATTGTAATATATTCACTATTCACACATTCGGAACAAAACATTTTAAGATAATAAGGGCTCAAAGTAATGTGTTTATTTATTTATATAATCTATTTTCATCTACGTTAATACATTTTCTGGACCATCCAATCAGTAGTATTTCAGCTGCTCGTCGTTAGTAATTAATTAGTTACGTAGGTTATTACATGTCAATCCATGGCTGTTTGCAGGGACCGGCTGAAGGTGCACGTGGGCTCGGGCTACCTGTTCTAGCGGCCCGAACCGGCGTCATCACATCGACACCCATCCCGGGCCCCGCCCCCGCCCTCCCACCCCGGCCCCCGTCGGCGCAGGCGCCGGCAGGGGCGAAGGCGCGGGGCGGGGGCGCAGGTGCGGGTGAAAGCGCGCACGCAGCGGCACGCGTGCGTGAAAGCTGCGGAAGCACGCAGGACCCGCCCGCGGACGCCCGCTGCCCTTGGCTGCTCTGCGTCGCCACCCGCCCTCTCGCCCACTCGCCCCTCAGTTGGCTTCGACCTCCGCCTCCGAGAAGACACTCTCCGTAGCTACAGAGAGTAGCGCAGCCGCCGCCATCGGATATCCCCTCACCCGGTAGCCTCACCAGCCAGCATTCAGGGGCTGGCGAGAAATTATAACAATGCCACCCCATCTATACCTCCACTTTTTTAAAGTGGCCGATGCCATTAGGTTATTGTTATATCTCCTGTTTCAAAAATATTTTTTTTATTAATTCGAGAACGTCGTTCTCAACAGAGCTCGTGGTCTCATAAATGAGCCTACCACTGTTATTCATTTTATAAGGTATGAGGTGTAATATTGATCTAATGTCAGCGGACACTTTAAAAAATCGAATACAGGTTTCGTTATGACGAACGGTTTGCCAGTGAAGCACAGTCTGATTTCTTGAATTCTAGGAGTGACACTGCGCATGTGAGAGTTCGCAAAAATTCAGAAATCGTTAGTCAAAAGGAAGCGTGTAAATCAGGTCTTCAGGGCATCAAGGCATATGGATATTTTCTGTTACACAAATATTGTTTTGGAACAGATTGGTTGTTTGCAACACATAAAATACCTCAGAGATCGAACCCTCCTGGAAAGAGGATGTAACGTTGCGGCAGCAGGGGTTGCATAGAAATGCGCTACTCTTTGTATCTTGACACTCTACAAGAAGATCCTCACACTCTACGAGAAGGTCCTCACACTCTACAAGAAGATTCACCCCCTCCGAGATCCACTTGCGACCGTCTGTGTTTCAAGTGATCCATCTACGGACAATAGAGACTTTTCAGAGACTTCTGAGATCCCTCGCACATGTTTTGAATCTAACATCGCCGCATTGTATTCCCCGGGGAGCAAATAAAGAGCAGGTAGGAGCGGCGACAGTTTTGCAACTGGCGCGAGGCAAGCTCGTCCAATTACGTTTGCCTGCTGGTGCAGCCTCAAACAAGATCCATCAACACTGCCAAGACCCGTCTGTGCTATGGCGATTTCCAACTTTGACATTCACTGAATTTCTGTGTTAAAAATGAAGTGATAAAAACTCAAGGTAATTTTTGACTCTAGAATTCCCATTAGAGTAGAATGACTTTCGGAGATTTTGATCAATGATATTATTAAGAACGCAACAGTGATATTCAACACGAGAACCATCAGCATTTAAATGATCGGAATGAATTACCTGAGAGATTTCAAATTCTGGCTTTTGTATAAACGCTCTAAGTACTTATTTTTATTTAGAATGACCAATGTGTACTAGGATGAGTTTAAACTTTTCTGTGGAATCTTCCGCCATTACTTACTACAACGATTAGAATACTTTTGTACATTTTTTAAGATTTTTATTCCCTGGGATGCACATGGGCTTTGTCAATTCTTTACATTTCTGAGAAAAATGTCTGTTGTGCTGAGTGTTTGAAATTTGGAATTCATTGTGTTCACATTGAACTACTTCACTAATGGTGTCTGTGGAAATTTCATTGCACCTTGCAAGTGTATTGCATTTTTTAACCAAACGTTAGTACCCCGTTTTAAAGTAATAGTTCCCGATCCCTAATAAAGTCTGACGTTTCTTGCATTGTCATCACTTTAGAAACATCCCGAATAAACAACGAAACTGTGCTTTCCCTCCATCATTGTAAACGTCGCAATGCAATGTCTGTACATCTGACAACTACTCGCACTGCCTCCGTCGTCGCTGCCGCCGCCTCCATTGCCATTACCCTCACGATCACCACCTCCCTCATCACCATCATCATAGTCATCACCATCACCATCACTACGGTATATGATCAACATCACAGTCCTCTTAGCATTTCTTTTTACGATTTGTTGCCAGAAAGAAGACCTGCATGACTGATAGCACTGGATAGTACAGTGGTAATTACAACGTGTTAGGACAGATTGTATATAAAATATGCCATTATATCATTTATTGATTATTAATATAAATTACATTGTATTATTAAGTTTTTAAATTTTTCTGTCTCTTCCGCCTTGTACCACAACTTGGCATAGCTGATGTAAACGACAAACACGTCAAGCGTCAGCGTCTTTGGAATTCATTTAAGAATTCAGACTATTTCTTTTATCATACATAAAACGATCGAAGATTATAAATTGAGCTTTAGTAGTCAACATAACTAATTTACTGAAGTACTGTATTTGAAATATTTGTTTAATATGATGCATCTTAAACTAAATAAATAGAGCATAGGATTTTAAACGTAAAGCCGTTTGGAAACTTTTAATTAATTTCCGTTTTGTTCTTGCGTAATGAACACACGATTAGATGTAATTGGCAGGAAAATATGAGCGTTCAATGCAAATTATCACTTCTTTTGTGGTTGGGACACTTTTTCTGCGTGAAAACAGTGCGTTTCATACAATTGATAAACAATTAATTTAAGGTCTGGAATTTAATACACCATTCTTCATCACATACTGATTGAGAAACCTTATCACAAGAGGTCACTTCCCTTGGTCGTAAATGTAAATATGTTACAACAACAACAACAACAGCAATGACAACAAGCGAAACAGGATTGAATTTATAAGGACGTTATTAGGATAAATACTGAAATTCGTTGAAACAAAATTCAAAAGATTCTGTGGAGACATGAGACAAACAAATAAAACGTTCAATTTGTCTTCTTCAATTCTTCTAGTAATCATAGTGTCGTTTAAATTTAATTAAACTTAAATCAACAGCAACATCTAAACTATAAATATTAGGATGCTTCATGAAAAAAATAAGTTAATTGAAAAAATTAATGACTACCACTTATTTATATCAAGAATGGATTTGCTAATATAAAGTGGCAATTATAGAGTTGTGATGGTTCATTTAAAGTATCCATTGTAAACCATTTTTTCTTGTACATTTGAGATTTTTATACAATAAAAATATGAATAAGAAAAGTATCCAGATATTTATTGTCGTGCTCACTAATTAAACAGAAGTGAGGTTCACTAATTACGAGAAATGCAGTTTGAGGTTATGTGCGTGTTGGTTATGTGCCACATGTGGTGACACGCCCAAGGAGCATGTGGTCTTCTCACGTGCAGGTCCCTCTTGTTCGCGTATTGCAAAATACTCCCCTTGCACGCGGTCATGCTTATCTCCGACCTCTGAGGAACACACATCTATACAATACATCACACAACTATAAACATTACATTTCTTGAAACATACATTGAATTATATGATTTAAATTGCCAATGTTTCTACTGTCTATTTGAAATATTTGCCTCCGTTTCTTCAGTCTTAAACATCATATTTCATTACAGAGCTTTGTTTTACAATGATCTTCAAATTGATACAAGTTGTTATAATAAGGAAATCAAGGTCAAATTACACGGTGTTTTAATCAAATCCGTTTAGTTGCTGTGTATCAGTAAAACGCGCGAAAATTAATAATACCTCAATTTTCTGCGTGAAATGGAACACATGTACTACAGTTCTCTAGAGAATATTGGAAAAATGGTTTAACAATGTACATAACATAATTTTAGCACTGGAGGATACAAATTTGTTGCAAATAAAAACGAAATTTTTCATGTTAATGAATGGTTATTGGAAAAGATACTTGTTTGTTATGTCGAATGCAATTATGGATGGATTCTAAATATTTGAAACAAATTGTATGTATGTACTTAAGATATTTGAGAACTATTCGCAAATTGATTCTCGATTATCTACGAGAAATATATTTTTATCATAACCATATTGGAAAAATAAAATGAATTCAAACCAATTATTTTAATAAACTACTATGGTATTTTTTCCATAAATTCAAGGACAGTGAACAATCAATCAATTATTACTACTAATTTTCAAACAAGTTCAAATAACATTCTGAAATATTACATCTCTTTGTTTATGAGTAATTTTTTACGTAAATGTGATATATTTAGTACAAAAACTACAGTAATGACATTACAATATGAATAAGTGCATGTGTCAAATAGAATTACAACACCGAAACTTTAACATTATAAAAACAATGAGGATAGAGAAAACATTTATTTCAACGATGTTCTTACACACACAATTGTAAATAAAATAAACTTTTTGTGGTAAATAGTGTGAAAATCGTCTTGTAAGCATGTTAAATAACAAAATTACTCTCTGAAAGCGTAACAAACTATATGAGCAAATGGGATTTTACATCGCTGAAACTTCTGTACTGTGATATGAAACAACTGTGTTGTAAAAGTTAGCATTTTTTACTGATGTCTAATGAATGTGTAACGAATAAATATATTGAAGAAACAACATTGTAATGTCACTTCCTTAGTACCAATTATTTTTTTTTGCTAATGACCTTCTTTAATTTCCAGGCTTACGGTTTCCTCTTCAGAAACATGTTTATGTGCGCACGCTCTTGTATATTCATGAATGGTTTTGTTAAGGCGCATTGTATTGATTGACATAACGAACAATAGCTTACGACCGGATTCATCGTCCACTTATTAAGAAATAAGCCGGAAAAGCGAAAACTAGTCACGCTGATATGTCTTTTATCGCCTTCATGAGTTGAAATACATTAAGCATTGTAAGGCATTTAATTACTCAATGCGTAGCAAGACACGTAATAGTGTAATTAAGTAATAAAGTTCGTAATAAATATTTATGTACGAAGAGATGAATGTAGTTAACAATTTTTTTTAAGTTATAAAAATATTATAATCTAACAGAGTTATTCGTGATATATACATTCACATACACTTTTCGATTTTCAGGTATACAATTGGATCACTCTTCTCTTCCCCTGCACCAATCTTAATTATGTTTCCAACAACACTAATAGGCCTTACTTCTGGTGTGTGTATGTGTGTGCGTGAAGTTACAGATGAAAATCAAATTAAACATGGAATTTTCTACTAATATTTGATATATTGTTGAGATGATTTCAATACTTTTCCTCCCTGCAATATTACCCACTCGTAGTATAGAGAGGGAAGGTAAAAATGGATAATTAGATTGTTTTCGTTCTATTAAATACATAATAAATATAATATTGAGTCTATACCTAATTAGGTGAACTATCCAGAACTTTAAAAATGGTTAGGTAATTTTCGTAAACTCAAATAGAGCAATACAGCATTGAGCATTACAGGAGCAATTATGAAATGATTAAGTGTAGATTGAATGTTTTCCCTGTTCCTTTATTTAGGGTCAGTACGTCTCAGAGTGTTTGCTACGGAAAAGCATTGAATAGGTATAAATAATTTAATAAAGAATATATGAATACATTAACCATTGAGACTAAGTTTACACAATTTACACGCTAATCAATATT